ATTTTATTACAAATGAGCCTGCACTAGTAATGGATTTTGACCAAATAAACTTCTAATCATTACAAAATTAGACAAAATAATTTGAGGTTATACAAAGCTGTCATCAATGTTTACTTGTTTACAAACATAACTTAAAATATCGTGTGATTAGCAGCGTTTTCTTAATGTCTGTTTTGAATATTAAACAACATTTTTATAATGTGCCATAAACAAATTTTGAGTTTAGTGAACCGAAAAATGTACCATTATGTTTTTTTTCGGTTCTCTATTTTTGAAATTGCCCAAAAACGATGTTTTTTTACGATTTAGAGAACTAAAAATGGCTGTTTTCCGGACAGTATGATGAAATTCTGTTTGATATCATCTGTCATCGAAAATAGCTACTTTTCCCGGCAGAGTTAATGGTAATTCCATATAAATAGTCTATAGTTTGCCTAGTAGAATATGCTACTCGTATACATCTATATAATTAATACGCTACATGAAACTTTGTCGGTTGAACTCCTCCGCCATTTCTTAACCGATTTTATCAATTGACGTCTCATTGGAAAGAGCGTGTCGCGTAGATTTGCAAACTGGCCTCACATTTTTGAAAACGTCCCTAGGGCTCTGCCCCAGTGGCTTTGAAAGTTCCCATGTTATCCTTATGGAGAACATAATTGTTTACATTTTGATCAGCTGTATAATTTAATTGCTGTTATTTATTTTTCAATTCAATGAAACCATCGATTGAAACGCATTGAGCAGTACATTTATTTACTATTTGAGTTTGTGTAAACATAACCCCCAAGACGGATCGTGTTAGTATGGTTGTATCTGAAATTTGTGTGTTTATCGTTGTTTTGTGTCGCTATGACGGATCGTGTTAGCATGACTGTAACTTAAATTTGTGCATTTATCGTTGTTTTGTGTAGCTATAATTTGTTTATTTGTTGTTCTTTTCTTTTAAATGTCTCAGACGTGACGACAACGAAACATAGACGGAGGCGTAATCGTGATAACGACCGCAGCTACAGAACAGTGGCGCATAATAGCATTGACTATAAAATATAGTCAATGATAATAGGCTTAACTCATCACAGTCAGCACCTGACTATGGACAATCTCAACTATTAGGTTACAAATGCGCCCTAACACTACCCCAAAACGACTTTTCGTTATCAATTAGCCCTCTATCAATGACCTGTGTTGCCTGTACAGCAAGGCATTTTGAGAAGGAGAAAACCGGCAGGAGTTCTTTTTTTATCAATAACGAAGATAAACATGGACAACCTTATATGGCTATAAGTCAGGAAATGTTTGTAGAAAACATTAAAAAGCAATACCAGGTTATGAAATATGATACAATATTTACAGGAAATGTTAATTACTGTTATATACATCGTGAGTATCTCCATGAGTTACACACAGGTAATCTTTGAGTTGTCTGTTTTGAACTCATTGTAAATAGCCTATCCGTTTTATAGCGTTATTCTTTTTTAACTCCTGTAATACTTTGAAATTGCTCGAATTCGAGCAACATGTACACTAGTAAATTATTATATCATGAAAGATATTTAATTAGAAAATTTAATGCAACATGTGAATTTGTACGAGATTTGTTTTAAATACACTATAACACGTTAGTATTAAACGTTTGCTCTGCAATAAACTGCAAGAATGTTCAATCCTAAGGTAAATGTCGCACAACAAACGCCTTTCGTGTTTTTACAATCTGCCGAGTTCACGAAGACGAAATCGCCTCCAGTTTATCTCCATTTGTCAGTGTTACAACCTAAAGCGGGTCTTTCGTTTCACCTTTTTGTGGAACGTTTAAAAAAGATTGCCTCAGATGTATTGTTGAACTTACCATCCTCTAACAGATCGAGCATATTTCCTTGTAAACTTGATTTTTAAATACATTAAAATAACTTTTTATGTTACTATTAGTTTGAGTTTAACTTACTTGCAATTTACAAATTTAACGTTGTTTATTGTCTTAGGTAAGAAATTTATAAAAAATTCCATGACAAATTAAATTTTTTCTTTCACGTAAAATAACATATTAAACAGAAAATGTATCACAACTCAAAAAATAAACGCTAAGTAAAACACTTAAACGAGTATAACTTTTGGAGACCAAAATTATTTTGTCGTATTATTTACCAAATCCATAAAGCAACAACAACAACAACAACATTTACAAGTTTTGAACTATAAAAAAAGTTATGGCTGCTAGGCAACGACAACAATGTAGATTATGAACTTGTAAATTTAATTATGCATTTCATTAGATTATGAAGTTACCACTAATTTTTAATGGCGCTTTAAACAATTGAGGTTTATAATTCAACAGCTGATTAGCTAACAAATTATCCGTTATGTAATTTTGCAATTGCACTCCAGAGTGCAAAGTGCAATTGCCTCACTCGAGAAATCATTCCTCACTCGCCTACGGCTCGTGAGTAAGTAGGGTTATGTGGTTATGGCCTGCAAAACGATATTTAGCTTAATTACTCCAAAAACAGTAAAAAAATAACGCACGACTGGTGCGGTGAAAAATGGGTCTCTTCAATTACAAAAAAATCACCATAATCAATAGGATTCAACGACGGGTTCGTGGAAACTACATTATCTACATTGTTGAAGTTTATTGAAAACCATTAGCTCAACTTTCAATGGATTGTAACTCATTATTAATTTTTAATAACTGGTTTTGGTCTAAGAAAACATGGATTTATATAAACTTTGTATTTTTTAGTTTTAGCCTATAATTGATCTTTACTGCATTGTGTGGTGGAAATAAAGTGTCTGTATCACTAGCCAAATGGTTTCGCCTGCTTTTGTTTGTGGCTTTTCTTTGTTCTTGACAAAACTCCTTGTCTACTAAACTGTCTTTTATCAGGTGACGTTTTGATAAAATAAAAAGGCATTGTGCTCGCCTGACAATGTCTATAACCACTTATACACCCATGGGTTCGTAGAAATGACATTAGCTGTATTTTCTAAATAGCTGAACGTTTCTTGAATACCATAAGCTCAAGATTCAATGCATTTTACATCAATATTCGATTTATCAATGACTGATTTTGGTCTGAGAAAAATTGAATTATATACATTTTTTGTAGTTTTCTAATTTATTGGTTGACTGAACCGTGAGGTGGAAACGTAGCGGCTACCACTGGCAAACTAGTTTCGCAAGCTTTTAAATTTTCTTCGTACTTGGGAAAAAATCAGGTCTTTTCTCTTTGCTCAGGATCGATCGGGGGACCTTTTGATTGCCAGGTGAACACTAGGCTTTTACAACTTGTTATTCATTCTTGCTGTATAATTACTTTGATCTCCACAGAAAACAGAACATAATACAATAACTCATCCTTACAGCCAATTCCTAAATCACAGTTCTTTCTGATTCATTGTCTCAACTTACATTGATCTCCACAGACGTGAGATCAGATCTACAAAACTGATCCTGAGAAGATGGATCGGTCCGTGAAAAAATGTTCTCACCGGTGTTACTACTCGTTACTTTGATGTTACTTAGACCTAGAAGTTATCACAGTGTCGATTTAGATTTATCAGTCTCTGAGGAATCACTCGCTGTTTTGTTTTCCTTGTTACTTTAATGTTGAACAGTAACTGAATCAGTTACTGACCACGACGTTTCAGATTGAACACGGACGGTAAACTTGATGATCGATTGTTATTGTAATTGTTATCCTCTTTGACACGGTATTTAATAGAAACGGGGATCGGCTTCTGATCACGATTTCTACTGAGTCGAGTCGATCCTTGAGAAAAATGTCTTTATGAGGGGATCTCTAATTCATTTTATACAGGGTTATTACAAATGGTGTTCATGATTTCATACATACATAAAATATAGTTTTATTTGTTATACAAAGAAATAAAATGGTTACAACTTTTGAAAAACTCAAAAAGTTTCGACACAGATACACAGAACTGTAAATGCTCGATACGGGAACCCCTTGTGGTACGACAGATGTCAATAATGTAGTGAAGCTCTTGCTAGACTTTGAAAAGTGTGTCTAGGTCTATTGTTTCGATAGCATTGGTAATACGTTGCTGGATCTCAAGTATGCTATCTGATAATGGTGGTGTGTACGCCTTATCTTTGATGTATCCCCACAAGAAAAAAATACAGGGGGTGATGTCCAGAGATCTTGTAGGCCAGTTCAGGGGTGTGTCATTATTCGGACCACCGAGCTCGTTCCATTTCTCAGGCAGCACATTGTTAAGTTCAGCCCTACTACAAGTAACATTCAAATGCAGCCATTTCTCTTAAATTTCAAGTGTAACTTGCCAATATAGTGGTTACTAGGAGGATAATCTTTAAACCTGGTTCTAAAGTGTCGTTGCACACTAATAACAGATTGGTTAATGTAATATTCCAACTGGAAAAAGCTTTCCTGCCTTCAGATTTAGCCATTACACAACACTTACAACAATTGACTTGACAAACAGCTGATGTGCACCCAAATCAATGTAAATGAAACTCTTTGAGTTTTTCTTTCCAATGGTACCAACTAAAATAGTCTTGAAACAAAATAACCCAGCAATATTTTTAATCAAAATCAGGAACATCATTTGTAATAACCCTGTACAGAGAATATTGGGATGGCTTGGTACCTGATGAATCGTTTTCCTAAAAAATGTGTTTTCCTCATTAACTTGATGTTAACAGAGCTTGAGATCAGTTATTGATGAAGATTATGAAGATTAAGACGAGTCGATCCCTGAGGAATTTTTCTTCCTTATTACGTTGATGCCAAATAGGGATCAGATACTGGTTACGTAATGTAACGATTTGTGTCCTAAGGAATTGTTGTCTAAAGTTATTTGTTGTTCTTATATCTATTTCAGTTGATAAAATATACTTTAATCACAACGATCCCTTAGACTAGTCGGTCTCAGAGACATTGTTCTTCCTAATTACTTTTGAGAGTTCGAGATTAGTTCTCTTCAATTGTTGTTCTTCTTCATTACTTTGATGTTAACAGGGATTCACACCGTTCACTGATCTCAACAACAGGAACGATGAATCAATCCCTAAGGAAATCATCTACAACGGCTTTGATGAATCCACAGTACCTTTGGTCGTAAAGATAAGTGTGCTAATAAAACTATCTCTATTTCTAAATTTGTCTTTCATTTTATTTAAATCATACAAACACTCATTCAAGAGAATTAATGGGACGCAATAAGCGGAACAATTCAAATATTAATGTTACTGTACGGTAAAATATTACTGTTTTAGAACATTTTGTTGATAACCTAAATTTCCGTTTACGTTACAAGATTTGTAACTGACACAAAGTGCGTTGTACTGTAAGGTTTTTTATGAGTGCACTAAAGGCATTCGTGTTTGATAGTTTTCTTTGCTTAAGAATACAGGTGTTGTTTAAATTAGGCGTATACCTAAAGAAAAAAAGAAAAATTAACTAATACTTCAGGTACAGGTATTGTTTAATTATCCAAGCTCAATGCAAAATTGTACCTTTAACGTCTGTGTATTCTCAATGAAAAGTTTGCGATTTCCATAATTGGATCTCGTTATCATTTGTTCGTGGATAACATCGGATAGGTAGTACTCTTTAACACCTAAATTATTTATAGGATTCACTTTCCAAATGCAATAATTTTTGTAATATAAAACATTCTTACGTAGATATTTTTAAAAACTGCGTGTAAAATTATTGCTGTATAGCTATTTTAATGGAGTTTCCTTTACCAGGACAAGGTTTTATGACAAAAATAATGAATCTATTCACATATTTTTACACGTCGGTTTGAAATGAATGAGTCTCCCATGCCAAATCATTAATCATTTCCTCACTATTGTCTTTGCCAACTGTCAATGATTTATTTAAAATTTCAGCCAATATATTCTTCACGGGAAACTGTTTTTGTAAATTGACTACGAGAGTATAAACAAACTAATTGTTTCTTTATTACTTTATGATAAGCATAATGAATGCACAATTCATATTATAAACGATAATCAAAAATGTATGTTTTCTACCTCTAGGTCAAATAAAAGAAAAAACTTGTTTTTCACATACTACGGAGCTCAAAAATCATTATTTGCTGTGTGTTATTCCATAGTTTATGTAGAAATTCTTTAATCGAAATAGGTGGGAGCCAGCACTGGGGTAATTCAATATTTTATAATATTGAAATGGTTAACAGTTTTGAATGTATCCACAGAATATTCATGCCTTTTTACTTTAATTATGTTCACAGAAGTACAATTTAATCTTATCTTGTAGATTCTCTTATTTATCTTATGGTCCCAAAAGTGTCCCAAATACATAAAAATCTACAAGAACATGTTAAGGAGGACAATAAAGAAATCTGAATTTTTGAGGGGTTGCCTTCCGGAGTACTTACAACAATTACTAACAACTAACAATTACTATTCTAGAGGTTATATACCTTTTGTTGCCAACGTAACCTTGGTTGTCTAAACTTTTTGACGACCTACAAGAAATGAAAACACGTATTTTTCTAGAAAACGGTCGTTGGCAACAAAAGACGTATGTAAAATTAATAAAGATATCTGGTTATAAGCTACATTCTCACAAGTCCTTAGTTTCATTGTCAAGGCAATAAAGTAGTATTATTATTATTGCTATATAAAAAAACCAATATAACGATAAATATATCGAGTAGTAGTAGTTTTAGAGGATGTATTTTATTTGGCAATTTATTTGTATTCTTATTAGTATTAGTATATTATTGCTTTCAGTTCATACCTAATCAGTGTAATTGTGGCTTAACCATACCATAGAGTAATATGTTTTCATCCATGACCATATAGTGTAACTAACTTATTATAATACAAAAATATAACCATTGATATTTTTACAGTTATTTGCACAGTAGCTTAAAAGATTTGGAAACAACAAATATTACTCACCAAAACTTTGTTATTTTGAACATTCAATGTAATACTTTAACAAATGTAAAAGTAATGTTACCTCGTCGGGGCTAATCTTACCTCTAACCTGGCTCCAAAAATGTGTCGATATCCGACAAGATGCGGGCAACTCTTAAATAAATTCACCATCCTTTTATTTAACGTAGTTTTCTAAAATCAGGTTTTTTAAATTTAGCAACAACATAAATTATTGATTACATTTTTGAAAGGTATTGCAAAATTAATGTTAATAAGTGTATACACGTTGTTTGTTAATATTTAGACGATTTGAATCCATCAAATCTTTATGAAAAGTGAACTGAAAATTCGAATAGAAATATTATTATTAGTTTTGAAAACAAGATAAACGCGGTTTCTTCAAACCCAAGCTACGATAAAACCACTAAAAGATTTACTATTGTTTTGCTCTACTAGATGTACATAAACAAATATTTTGCGTGATTGATGTCAAACATTGTGTTTATTCTTAACTTGTAGAGCTTCTTTACATCCATTGCTAATGAAAATAAATTACAACTGAAGTACCTACAGAAAAAAAAAACTAAGATCGAATATTATTTTTTTGAATTCTCTGATCAATTATGTAAAATTCATCTTGTATGTCAGCAAGATAGAAATATATATGCCAAAATATGCACAGGACAAAACCACACAATGAAATAAAATAATACTTTGTTTTACTGTAATAAATAATTGAAAGGCATACAAATCTTACACACTGAGTGTAGTTGGTTATGATAATTCACTGGCAGGAAAGATTCAGTCCTGTTGTTCCCCGAATTTTGGCTTGGTGTTTCCAGGACATTTGGCTTTATGCCGGTGTGCGACAATTTCCTTCCTAACGAGACAATTCTAGTTTGTTGCTTTTCCAAACAAGTAAAGTTGGGTACTTATTTTCATTTATTGAGTAAGTTTTCGGGACAATTTAGTTTCTTTGCGTAATACGTTTGCCACGATTTGTATCCGAATTGATATTTAGATTTTTTAGATATTTAGAACTTGTGACTTTAAAACACATACAGGGTGGTAAAAAAGTCCCTGGACAGTTAAATATTTTAAAAAATAATGCAGATAGAGCTACAATACTTGGTACAAAGTTACAGGGCATAAAACTCTATTTTAACACATATTCAGTGATCCAAGAACTCTTTAGGGGGACGGCCCACAAGGAGTCGGAAGAAAATCTTAAACGGAAGCATAGGTCAATATGCACATCAAATTAAAGGTATTTTTTAGTAGAATACAATACCGCAAACCACACTTCAAAAGGTTGATCCTGCGCAAAATGACAGTTGTTCAAAGATTCATTTAATTTACATTGCTATTATACGCTTACTCCTCAGGGGGCACAGCCCTAGGAATCGGAAGAAAATTGTTAACGTAAGCATAGGTCGATATGCACATCAAATTAAAGGTCTTCACTAGTAGATTACGATGCCGTAAATTCAAGCTCAACAGAATGCCTGAGTAAAAAATGGCAGTCGTTCAAAGATTCAAAATGGCGGATTCAAGAAATCTTTGAACACCTGCCATTTTGCGCAGGATCAACCTTTTGAAGTGCGGTTTGCGGCATCGTAATCTACTAGTGAAGACCTTTAATTTGATGTGCATATCGACCTATGCTTCCATTTAAGATTTTCTTCCGACTCCTTGTGGGCCGTCCCCCTAAAGAGTTATTGGATCACTGAATATGTGTTAAAATAGAGTTTTATGCCCTGTAACTTTGTACCAAGTATTGTAGCTCTATCTGCATTATTTTTTAAAATATTTAACTGTCCAGGGACTTTTTTACCACCCTGTATATGTTGTTTAAAAATTATTGTGGACATTTTCCCATAAATTAGTAAAAAAAAGGCAACCAATGTTTTAGGAAATAAAATCTGTTCCATCTTCGGGTGGGAAATAATCACATGACATGATTACCAAAGAAATTGGACAGCATTGGTATCTCAGTGGCTGCAATTTAATGTTTGGACTGTTTGGAGAATTTAACTAAAAATATGTATACAACAAAAAAAAAGTTCAAAAATTATAAAAAGTTGAGTTTTGTGTACTCAAAAGTCACCCAACTGAAACAGTTCAGTCAGAGACATGGAGGCGTATTTCTGTTAAAACATTGTGTTACACTACACCACCCATTTTATATAATACTCTCATGAGCCAGGTCAAAGATTAAGGTCAAAGTTACACCTTAAAACTGGGCTGGATACTGAAACTAGAAACTTAATTTTTAACAATCATTGGTGATATCTGCAATTATCCTTTAGACGACATAGAACCATCACTACCAACAATTGACTTGAAATAAAAAGTATCATATATATATACTGTAGAATATAATTTTTCACAAGATATTTAATTAAAAAGATATATATTCTGACATTAAAATGTCATCAGGGCTTTACTTTCCTTCTCACAATGGGTTTTAATTTTGATAAGCAAAGGAATAAAACTCAAGCTAAATATAATAAATGAAATGAACCAATTGTATTGTGTCTCGACCAATAAAATATATCGCCTTCCACTTAAATATCGAAAACTGATTTTGAAAAATGACAATATCTTGTGGAAGCTTTTGCAATAACAGTTGCCAGTTAGTCATGCAGTCGACCGAGAGTAGTACTTAAGACTTTATATCTCGTTGGACTTAAAGCATTATATTTATCACAGTCGTATTTATACTGTTCGCGTTTTCTGAAGTATGGGAAAGGTTCAACATGGACATTTGGCATTGGCAAATTGACAGTACTTAAAAAAATCTTTAGAAAACCGATGTTACCAGTTAATTTTTGATACTGATATGAATATTTGATCAAAGGGAAAATTGAACAAATACACACAAAAGATTGTCTTAACCAAGTGGTTTCCAGAAGATTAAACATAAGTTATTTGCCGATTGGTTTGACCGATTATGTGTGAATTAAAAGCAATGCAGTTGAAAAAAGATAAGAAAAACAAAGAATGTATCCCCCAAAAGACGACACAAGCTTTAAGATAACAACATTTTTTTGTTGTTAAACCTAAAACATTGTTAAGCAAATTGCAGGATCGTTGGGTGCAGCAAAGCTAAACAACAATAACAACAAAATATTTTTTTATATAAAAACTATCTGCTTTTACAAAAATAAGCGTTTTGCAATAGTAACGACAAAAACACAACTACACCATGCAACATCGGATTAAAACAGTTAACAATATCAACAGCCATAAAAACAACCATATTATGTGTTATAACAAATCCGCATATTTACAAATCGTATTTACAAGTATTGACTAGTTTACAACTCAAATAAACATTTCATATTCGGGCACCATATCTTCAAACTCATCAAAACTTACTCTCGGCGGTGGGAAATAATCAGGTTTTGGTATTTTGAACGATTGGAAAGGGAGCATTTTAAAATGACGATCTAGATGCTTCTCTTCCATAGCCAAGTTTAAAAGATCGCCAATCGACCTTAAAGATTGTATTGGTGGCATAACATCTGAAATAAAATCATGAATAGGTTATAAATAAGTGTACTAGTTACAACCATAGTTGAAAACATCCTATGACCAAGGGAGCTGTGTAAAACAATTTAAGTTTCAAAAGTAATTTTAAATTATGAAAGAAACATTGTTGAAAACAAAGCAAAATAAATCCATTCAATTGCCTTCATATAAGATGTATAATCGACCTATTTCACCTCGTAATGTTTGCAAAGGCTAAATGTTTATTATAATATTAGTAACTTTGTGACCTTCAACCTTACTATGATCTGGAACTATTCTCTTCTTTAATTCTCAGGAGTACCTAGTTGATATAATAAAATGTATATTGAAAGAGCGAAGTAAAGTGAAATAATATAACGTGTGTTTTCTTCTTAATTAATTGTTTGCATCTGTTAATAGACGCAGTAGTTACACATTTATACACTTTGGTTTACGGTAAAAATATATTTCTCCATGAAAAATTCTTCCATAAAAAATTAAAAAAATTACATCCAATTTTTTTATCTTAAGAAATGATAAAATTATACAGTTAGAAATAAAGTACATTAACTAATATCCATTCCGGTACATGAAAACAAGAGTGGATATTTTCACAGATCGAAAAATTATTTCTCTCTTACTTCTGAATTATTTTGAAAGTAAAATTGCTTTTATATACTGGACTAAATGTGCAAGTAACACGCCCATTGTGAAGCAAACTAAAAAAATAAGCTAAAAACCTATAATTTCCCTGAGTATGGTTTATTTTTTCCACCCAAAGGTTTCTTAAGCGATTTCATAATAGTACACTTACTAATAATAAGTCAGAAATGTACATACCAAGATATTCGCCTATGATACCTAAAAGAAGACATCGACTTCTATATCTTTGTCCTCTAATGTGGGGAATCTGCTTCCACGAACGTCCTTCAAACACCACCCCTTCGGGCGAGACTAGAAAACTGAAAATATTAAATCGAATGCATTTTTATGTAAGAACAAAAGAAGATTATAATATTTTTTTATTGATTAATATTATCTACATTTTTGATTATAGTTCCTTATATGTTTCCACTTAAACAATAAGCCTAAAGAGCTTGATTTAAAACATTTATACTAACAAGGAAGTAAGGAAGTACATCTATTTGTTGTAGAAATATGATTTTAAATAGGCTAATATAAGGATCATAATTTTAGCACATACTAAAATTACGAATAAAAGTATAACTGCATCTTTTAATTAAATATAGTTCACTCTTGACCATGAGGAAGTAACTTTGCTTGGCTGAAAAGATAAGTATATTCACTTTAAGATCGAAATGTTTTTAGTAACATATATGAAGTCAATTGTAAAAAAATAAAACCATGTGAGGTTCTTTCGATAAATATTTGAGGCGTTCAAGATGACCATATTTTAAAACAAACTAATGAAAATAGTTATTAAATCGGTCAAGATTTATTGCTGAAAAGTATAATTAAAATGCATCACCTCAATACTTTAGAAATAAATCACTGAAAAGTACGTATTTTTGAGATTTGTCTCCTATATTTTGTGTTTAGTGTTCAAGAATAAATAGTCATATAGGTATGATTATTTATGCATATCCTGGAAACCATAGGTTAGGTTGCCAGGATATGCATCATCCTTAAGGAATCCTGATAATTATAAGTTGAACTTTTCTCTTGAATTTAAGTTGTTTGCTCAATACCTTTACCATCAGATGTGTTATTTGACTAAGAAAAAAAGGAGGAAAGTTATTTGACCTTGGCACAATTCTTACTTGTATTTGATGTCTGGAACTCCTTCATCAAAGTCCCTCTCTTGCATATTGTGTACTAACCCACTACACTCAGCTATCTCACTACAAGGGGGGGTTCCTGTTGTACACACCCTTACAAGTTCAGGGAGTTTTCTAAAGGTTCTTAAAGCATTTTTTGGTTCCTCCGCGGCCCATTTGTCTCTCGTTATAAATTCAAAAAATAACTTCTTTTCCTCCTTCTTTTCTTCTTCAGCTTTCTTCTCTTCAAGTAATTCTTCTTCACTTTTGTGTTTTTTCCGCACTTTCTTCTTCGATTTTTTCCGCATTTCTAGTGTCCCCCACTATCCTCGAGATTATAAATTTTTAAATTTGTAAAAGCTATTTCTTTTAGTGATATGTTTTATGACTAAGGTTTTATCTCGTTGTCGTTATCTATCCAAAGTGTTTTTCCATCATAAGGAAAAACATATTCGTAATCGAGGTTATTTCCTGACATAATGTAAGTTGATATAATTAAATTGTTATCGAAAACATGTACTTTATTACAAAGCTTTATTTGATTATTCACTCTATAATCACAACGAAAGCCTTTAGACAGCCAAAGTATTTAAAACATAAATACTTCTTTGAGTATATTTTTATTAGGTCCTCCTTCATGTATTACAAAAATCCAATAAATATTAAACTTAATCTATATTTGTATTTGAAATAACACTGTCCATTAAAAAATGTATCAATTTATCAAGCTCGACTTTTTAAACACAACCTTTATCTTGTAAAATTGACAACAGTTACACAAAAAAGAACAAATAATACATAATGTCATTCAATATATAACACAATGTAATCTACACACAAACTAAACAGTTTTTTGAACACATGTCTGACTTGCCCACTTTCCAGGCTTGATCATTGTAATCTTTTTTAGTACATAATTTATCAAAAGCCACTGATATCCAGCCTACTGGTGTTGATAAGCTAGACAGCTCATATTGTTACAACTTTCTTACATAATAATTAGTTATTATGTAAATTGCAGATTTGTTATTTCATTTAATTGACTGACGTTACTTACAATACTGTCAGGAATAAACTTTGTTTCTTTAGAAAAAGCTGAAGCTATTTAAAATTTGTCATATTTTTTTAAATTAGCAAGGGGGAAAGTTTTCACATTAAGGTAGTTCAAGACTGATATAGGTTTGTTGGTATAATAAAATCTGGTGTTAAAAAAAAAAATAACTAGGTAGTTATTTTACAAATTTACCAATCCAATAGTAAGGAAACTTAAATGATGATGAAAAATCATGGCCAAGGTCCGAACAGATTTTCAGACAAAATGAAATTACTGAGAAAAAAAAATATATGATCATAAAATGACTTCACTTTGTAACTTCTTATTTAGGTTATGAATGATTTATTTTGATCATTTTATGTATCATAACTACTCTGTGGGAAATGCATGCCACTTCACTAAGTACGATGCCAGAACAGAACGGTTAGTATCTAAGAGCAGACAGATTTTGGACAATGGACAGACCTGAGGCCAAGTCACACCGATCTAGTTCCCGCGGCAGGAGCGAACTTTGAAAACTCGCTCACCATGTTATCAAATGTGCCAAGTCACACCGCACTACCGCGCGCCCGCGGGCGTGCGGTAGTGTCCGCCACGTCCGCATGCTGAGCGGTTTTTTTTTTAGAGTACCGCGGCGGGAGTTTTGTCTAGCGCATGCGCAAAGGGGCATTTCGAATGGCCAAGCTATTTAAAGTTTAAAAGTAATACAGTTTAATACGGTTTGAAATTAAATTTAACATGTTTCTTTTGTTTGATGATATATGTTGTTTTGTTTTATCTTCGAAATATGTTTATCACCAGAAAAAATCACTTTTGTTTACCATGTAAACACTACTCCTCTGTTAATAATTAACAGATTTTTACAAACGACGTGTCAAAATAAAGTATTTTTTGTGTAGACGCCCCCTTTCACCAATTCCTGTAATAAAAGCCCTCGGGCTTTGCCCCACAGGCTATCAAAATTCCAATGCATATCTTATGAAGAAAAGATTCTGTTTACCTAAACAGATGAATAATTCGTATTAATGACAGCTGTCCATAATAAATACATGATACACTCAAGAACGTCCGTTTTTAGTTTCGATAATTGGTATGGAGTGATTGATTACATTATCTTTGAGTTGACTCTTTTACATCGGAAATTATCTGACTTTTAGGGTTATTCCGTTTTCAAATAACGCCTGTAATACTTTGCAATTGCTCGAATTCGAGCAACAGGTGCACTAGTATTATAGGTTACCGGTATCCATAAAAAATTGAACTAATAATGTTTTTGGGCCTTTGGGGACAACAGAATGAAAAATTATGTCGTTCCCGGGTCTGGTTCTTAAGGTGCCGTGCCACCTACAGTAATAGCTACTTCTATATAGAGAGGGGAAATTCGCGAAAAATATTGTTTAATTTTTTTGAATTGTTAAGCCATTTAAGTTGGTTATGTAATGTAAATAATAATGGTGTTATACTGGTATTAAACTCCTAAAAGGAGGTCCGTGAAGTTGACGTACCCATATTAGCGTATCCACTTTTGATCATACCAATCGTTAACTGTGCCCGCTGAAAATTCTATAATTTTGAAGTTGGCATACCCACTTTTTATGCTTCGTAACTTTTTTATTTTTTGAGAACTAACGTAAATATTGGAGAACTATCGAGAACTAACGAAGAACTAACGATTGGTATATAGATACAGGCATTTATGGTAAAAAAACTGTGCCCGATGGAAATTGTATAATTGTGAAGTTGGCGTACCCACATTTTATGCTTTGTAACTTTTTTATTTTTTGAGAACTAACGTAAATATTGGAGAACTATCGAGAACTAACGAAGAACTAACGATTGGTACATAGATATAAGCATTTATAGTCAGAAAACGGTGCCCGCTGGAAATTGTATAGTTGTGAAGTTAGCGTACCCACTTTGTATGCTTCGTAACTTTTTTATTTTTTGAGAACTAACGTAAATATTGGAGAACTATCGAGAACTAATGAAGAACTACCGATTGGTATATAGATATAGGCATTTATAGTAAAAAAACTGTGCCCGCTGGAAATTGTACAATTGTGAAGTTAGCGTACCCACTTTGTATGCTTCGTAACTTTTTTATTTTTTGAGAACTAACGAAAAAATTTGGGAACTATCGAGGACTAACGAAGAACTAACGATTGATATATAGATGTAAACATTTCTCATCAGAAAACGGCACGCGCTAGAACCCGGAAGTGTGAAGTTAGCGTACCCACTTATAAAAGGCTATAACTTTTTTATTTTTTGATAACTAACGAAAAAATTTGGGAACTATCGAGAACTAACGATGAACTAACGATTGGTATGATCAAAAGTGGATACGCTAATATGGGTACGCCAACTTCACGGACCTCCTAAAAGGGGTTAAATATACTGTATATCGGACAGAAAAATATAAAAACCATATTCAGCTAGTCGTACAAGAGTAACTGTAAATCTGTAATGGTGTATGCTTAATAAATGACTGAATAAAACCCAAATCAACTAAATGTGGTCAATTGTAATATACTTTAGCAACTGCAGATTAGAAGTAAATCTAAACATTTTAAAATAAGATTTTTACAACCTAACTGTTGTTAATGTGTACATTAGGAGATAGCAGTAAGCTAGAAAACCAGTTTATTTCCCTTCTTCTTTGCGTATATATTTTACTTACAATAACAAACATTTATCTGCATACGAAAATTTATGTTGAAAATTTCCACAATATATTCAAGCAACAACAAACTCATAATAACAGCTGTTCGCCTGCATTGTTGCGACGCGTTAGTCACTGGGATTGCGGAACGTCGCAACAATGGGATCATGGAACAACCAGTAGTCGAAAAATACAACCACAGACTATAGAGTAAACCATTACATATTCTATCGTCTGTGCTACAACGCTCAAGACTCTAGTCTAACAATGTAATTTATAGTTTTTGCTGTTAAATACTCTAGGTAGAAACAGACGTATTTATCCCATTTCACAGTAATAAACTCTCAATGTTATTAATCACAATGTATATCATGCATTAACACAATCATTTCTTATAATATAGCATAATTAAAGTTAACATTTCTTAAATCATAGTACAAGCACAGCATTAAGATATTCGCAATTCAATTATTCACAAAATTAGGAATTGATCTAAATATTGCATTGCATTCTTCATGTTATAAAAATTTAAATAGTATATAATACATACATAGGCTATATAATTAATATTCCATTAATAATACGATAAATAATATTATAATACATTGTATTGTAGTGCATTAAAACGTTGGCTGATAAACTACCCAAAAACCTATTTCACTGTCAGCTGATCAGCTGATCAGCAAGTCCTCTACTCGCATGACGTGCTCGTTTCTTATTGGTCCATTGTTGTCTTGTAACTGTCGTTGAACTGTACGATGTATTTCATGTTACTACCCGTAGTATTCGTAGTGACCTTGTAGTGAATGTCAGTATCTGTATCACGTAGTGTTTGTTAGTATGTATTAGTGGACATTTAGGTAAAAGTGTTAGTGTCAAGTGACTCATTCAGTGATAATAGTTATGCAGATTTTCCTGCGACGACATGCATCTTTGTTCTGGAGATTCACTGCAGTATTAATTCTGGTATGTATTTTCAATTACTAAGCATTATTAAACAAGCTTAAATTTTCTGCAAAAATTAAACCAAAGTTGATTACGCAATGGTCTACTTGTTATTTTATGACAATGGGTGAAGTGAATAAAAAGTAGTACATACTACGTAGTTCATACTACGTAGTTCGAGCACTTGCTCAAATCGATGTGAATAAGAATTAGCTAGAACTAGGTAGTAAGTACTAGGAGTTCCCTAAATGATGTAGTATGTACTACCCTCTTAGTACGTACTACTCCCTAGTACGTACTCATAATCAAGACACAACTGGCGCGCGGCGATAATCCGTTTGCCATTTCTGTCTGCACCTGCGGTTTTCTCAGTCGTGTTGATCAAATAGTAGTATTTGGTTAACTGCGCTTGGCGACGATTTTGATGGCGTTGACCAGGTACTGCTAGGGGGTGATGGGGCTTTAATAGTGATTAGTGAGCTGCGAAAAAAACATTTCTATTACTTTGAGAAATCTAAAATTCCGGGCGTGGTAAAGGGGAAAAGAGTGTGAGGTTGAACATTTTAGATGATACAACAAAACTCTTGGTAAGGATTTTAACATATAACATGAAAACTCGATGAAGAATAAAACGGAGAGGAATGTTATGGAAAATAAACCGACTAAGCTTAGAGAAGGAATAGAGATCTGATAGGAGGAAATGATAAGAAAAAAACTAGTTAGTAAACAAATCAACAATATTATTCTCAAATCACAGTAATTTCTTACAGTTACAAAATTTCTTATTTAAAGGTACGTTTTACTGGTATGGACTTGTAT